AAAACCACTGAATTATAAGTGTTAAAGTGAAAAACTTTATGGCATGCCAATTATATGTAAATATGGCTACTATAAAAATAATGCCTGTCTATAGGATAGATTTTAGAGACAGAATAAAACAAAATAGAAGAGTAATGAAATATTTAAATGGCCTCCCCATGCCTTTACAGTCTAAGAAACAATATCTTGTATCTTTGCAATATGAGTAAATATAGCTCAAGAAGAATGCTTGATGAATTCATTTTTTGTGTGTGTGTGTGTGTGTGTGTGTGTGTGTGTGTGTATGTGTATGAGTATATACTCCAGTATTGGGGCTTGAATTAAGGGCCTGAGCATTGTCTTTTAGCTTTTTTCCTTCAAGCTAATGCTGTACCATTTGAACTATAATTCTACTTCCATCTATTTTTAAGGGAAAATTGAAAATAAGAATCTCACAGACTTTCCTGACCAGGCTGGCTTTGAACTGTGATACTCAGATGATAGTCTAGGTAGTTAGGATTATGGGTGAGAGCCACTGGTGCTCTGTGCATTCGCCTTTTAAGATTTGGAATTAGGAAATTCTCTAGCTACTATATCCTCAGGCCAAACACAGTTTCTTTTTTCTTTATGACTTAAAAAAATTAGTAAAAGTAATAGGCAAGTTAATTAAGAAAAAAAAAAAGTGGAGCTGTGGTTCAAGTGGTAGAGTGCTAGCCATAAGGAAAAAAGTAACATTTGGAATTTGAGGAATTCCTAACCCCAGGCCCACCTTTAGGACTGAGGTTAGGTAAGCAGCAATGTCAATATGGTAGCCTAGGGTAAATTTAAATTTTATTTAAATAGATGATGACACTAATTGTTTAAATTAATATAATCATTTAAATCATTTAAGTTCTTGACAAGACATTGCAATTGTGGGGGACTGGTCCAATTTAGATTTTCATAACACTATATGGTTATTTCAAAACCATAGCCTCTAGTGAGACCTTTTCTGGACATTGCTGCAAATACCTTGGTCAGAAAGATGAATGGAATTCCATTTGTCATGGAGCCATGACTCAGTCTAAGAAGACGTGATTTTTTTTTTGGTCTGAGTGCACTTTGTCCTTCCCAAACAGCTTATTGAGCCCAGAATTGATGCATAGTCCCTACTAGGTTCTAGAGAACAGAGCTCACTAGGTTCTAGGCTCTAGGTGCAGCTCTTAGAGAGCCGGTTGCTCTTACCCTTGTAAGAGACCTATTGCACATGCTGAATAGAGTTTGTAGAGGTCTTGGAATCTACTCTTCATAAGATGTATGCTTTTTTCATATCAGTAATTTGCATTTGACACCTTGAAAATGTTTTCAAATATAAAATCATTTGCACAAAATGGATTTGTATCCTTAGTTCCAAAAAATGAGTTAGATTAGGATGGCCATCAAAATATCCTCTAAATCTAATGCTCCGGCCCTTGTCTATGACTTCCAGATTTTTCTACTTGGTAATTTCTTTTTTCTTTTTCTTTTCAAATTCTTTATTGTGATTAAGTGGTTACATAATTCCCCAAATTTCACAGTATTGTGGGATAGTGATGCTTAGTTAAAGTCACAAACACATTCTAAGTTTCATGGGGCAAATTGTCTATCATGGTCTATAACATTTATGAGTTCTATGAGCTCTGCAATACAGTTATTTCTTCCACATTGGGTAGTATGTACATTTCTTTTGTTTTGCATAGCATCAGCTGTTCCCTCTTTCCATTTGTTCCCTCCCTCCCATCACTGCCATTGAGTTGCTTAGTTCATTTTGATCAATGTCCAGTGCAGCTGATGGGTCCCGCTGTTGTATGTTTTTCCCTGATTCCCTCTAGTTCTGTATTGTCCTCCTGATTTCCCTCTGTATATGTATATTCTCCTCCATATATATACCATCTATGTGGTCAGCAACATGGGTTATTTAGTTCTACTAAATAGCTACAGGGAAATGTCTAACACAGCAGGCAGCTGTCTTTTCTGTAGCCCAGGTGCAGTTTTGTACAAAGATCAGTGTTCTGACAGTTAAATTATGGTTACATATATACCACACAAAGCACAAGAGAAGCAAATTACCTACAACCCATTTTCTCTGGGGTACCAGGTTTCAGTGTTGTTGGATTTTTGTGACTACTTGGCCTTCATGGGGTATAGCTCATCTGTTAGTGGAAACTATATGCCTTTTCTAATTTGTGCTTCTTTCATGATCACATGCTGTTTTTCAAATTTAAATTTCCCTGCTTCCCCATATGTACATTATTTCTCTGAAGACACTATAGTTAATATTCAAAGTACTGTATTACAGTGCCTATTTCAAATTATATAGAAGATGGATTTTCTTCTTGCAATAAATGTACATGTCATTCAGGAAGGCAGAGCAAACCTGGATGAAATAAGGCAAGAAAAAGTTTTGAAGTATCAAATTGGCAGATGCTATTAAATACTTTGTAAGACTGAACCCTCTGCAGGGATAACAACCAGAACAAATGTACACAATTAGGCCACTAGAAAAGGTTTCCCAAAATTGGCGAAATTTATTTGGGGTTATGAGAAAGACAAATTTGGATTAAAGAAAATTTGCAAAAAGGCACTTTAGACCAAAGGCATGGCTGACTTTGGTGCTGGGGAAAGAAAGGAGGTTGTGAAACCATTAGAAGTTATCTCCTAGCCGGGCGCTGGTGGCTCACGCCTGTAATCCTAGCTACTCAGGAGGCTGAGATTTGAGGATCACGGTTCAAAGCCAGCCCGGGCAGGAAAGACCGTGAGACTCCTATCTCCAATAAACCACCAGAAAACCGGAAGTGGCGCTGTAGCTCAAGTGGTAGAGTGCTCGGCCTTGAGCTGAAGAGCTGAGGGACAGCACTCAGGCCCAGAGTTCAAGCCCCACAACTGACAAAAAAAAAAAAAAAAAAAGTTATCTCCTTTCTTCATGCAGTAATTTAAGATGAATTGGAAAACATATTTATTAATCCATCATATCTATCCCTCACTTCTGCTCCTATTTATTATAAATCACCAATATATTTTGACATCACTTGATATATATCACTGTATATACAAGACTAGCCCCAAATAGTGTAATACTGTTTTTTAATTTTCTCCTACATTTTCTGTGCTCAGTCATTTGTCATCGAATTGATTCATTTATATATTTTTGACTTTGTTCCTGTACATTTCATTACATAATTGTAAGCCAGGCAAAGTTCATATGTTAACTAAATGACTCCCTATCTCTCATTTGCTGTTGTTGTTTTTCCTCCTAAATAGAACAAACGTCTTCCTGAAAACATTTACTGCAGTCACAAACTGCTGTTTAGGGCCATTAAAGAGATAAAAATTTGTAAACTCAAGTTAGTGCTGAGTTTTATAAGTGCTGTTAAACCAGTGTGTGTGGGAAGCACTATCTCACTAAGTGTTGGGAGGTGGAGACTTAATTTTCTGTGCTTCTTATTGTCAGCCAGAAATGGCTAGACCAAAGCAGAGAAATCCTTCATGAATGCAGAGTCAAGGTGGCTTCCTGTTTTGTTTTAGGTTGTGTTTCCTTTCCTTCTCAGTGAATGCTCTGTTTTCTGACTTTATGCAATACCCTCGCCCAAGGCTCAGTGAGATCCCATTGAGAGGGCTTGCTGCTAGGGGCCCTAGTACTAAGGTCATTCCTGGTACAATGCCTGAAAGGGAGGGAGCAGAGGGACTCAGAGGGGAGGAGGAGACGCTGAAGACTGTGGAAAGAGCAACCCCGGAGAAATCTGTTTTCTATTTTCTCTTCCAGACTGAACTCATTTGGATGGAAGGGTTTTATTATTGTTATCATCATTTCCATTACCTGTGTGGGGGGGTAGTTTTCCTGCACATTTCTTTCAAGTGAAATTGTTCTTGAGAAGCGGTAGATAATACGTGCTATTTCACATCAGTGAAAAAACAGAAAGAGAGAAATAGTCAAGAGCGTCGAAGTTTTCCATTTTAAGCTTTAATATTTAAAAACCCAAAAGTTTTCATTGTTCTGGGCAAAGAAACATGTCAAGGAAAAAGAAAGGACAGAGAAGCACAGAGATACAGAGACAGAGAGAGATAGAAGGAAAGGGGGGAAAAGAAATGAAAAAAAAAGAAGAAAGAAGGAAAGGAAAAAGTAAAGAATCAATTCCTGGCTACTGGTGGCCGATTTGTCAGCATGTCCAGCACATCGCTTTCTGTAAGGTACTTTTGGCAAGCTACTTCGAATGCAGACGACTGCAGCCCTCAGCCTCGGTCTCTGTTCACAGGAGACCCGGGTAGTTAAAGCCACTTTGCTTAAGCCGTGCTCTAGCTCTGATTTTCTGCAGAGCGAAAAGCTGACCAGTCGTTTGCTGAAAGAAAATAGCTTCAGGGAGTGAGGGGCTGGCGGGGGGCGGGCTACCAGTAGGTTCTCCAGTCCGCAGCCGCAGGGGGCTCAAAAGAGAGGCGGGGGGGGGGGAGGTGGGGGGAGACGGACGTCCGGGGACACTGTCCCGGGTTGTCCCTCTCGCCTCACCCCACCGCCTCCGGGCCACGACCCTCGCCCCATCCATCGCCCACTCCCATTCTGGGAAGAGGACCCGGTCGGACCGGCGTGGGGTGGGAGGGTGAGGGGTGGGCGGAGCCTCCCTCGGGCCCTGAGGTGGTCAAGTGGGGGCTGCCGTGGTCGGCTCGGACCTGGAGGAGGGGCAGAGGCTCCTCCTTCTTCTGGCCTCGGCTGCCAGGCGCAGTCAGAGCCGCCGCAGCCCACCGAAAATGAGTTCTTCCTCTGTCTGCAAGACTTGGCAAACTTACGGCACCCTTCGCTCCTAATTTTCTCCTCCCTTCCCTCCCCCGCCCCCCACAAGCCCGACCCCCCTCTCCTCTCCTGCAGCTCCTGTTCCCCATCCTCCTCCGATTTAAAGCCCCTCGCGCCCCCCCCCCCCCCGGGATCGTTCCCTGATTCAGGGCCGTGACACCCCAGAGCGCCGGACACCCCAGAACGCCAACCAGCGCAGTTCTACTTTTGTTTGCGTTTCTCTCTGGCTGCTTCTCCAGCTCTGCTCTGATTGATGTGCGAAGTCTGAGGCTTCAGCCAGAGGTCGAGGAATAAATAGATGCCGCTGCGTCCCAGGGCAGCGCACATTGGGAGAGAGGAGCCGAAGGGGCGGGAGCGGCGCTCGGGGAAGCTCGTGGGACTCCACGAGGGGACTCTGACCCGGCCACGCGGAGAGGAAGGAGAGGCTCCGGATCGATCGATCCCCGTGTCTGCTTCCCCCGGGCGGGAGGAGACCTCGGAGCTGACAACTCGCTGTCCCGCCGGAATCATGCTGCTGCTGCTGCTGCTGCGGGCCGGGCTGCTCGCCCTGGCTGCCCTCTGCCTGCTCCAGGTGCCCCGAGGAGCCCGGGCAGCAGCCTGTGAGCCCGTCCGCATCCCCCTGTGTAAGTCGCTGCCCTGGAACATGACCAAGATGCCCAACCACCTGCACCACAGCACCCAGGCCAATGCCATCCTGGCGATCGAGCAGTTCGAAGGTCTGCTGGGCACCCACTGCAGCCCCGACCTCCTCTTCTTTCTGTGCGCCATGTACGCGCCCATCTGCACCATTGACTTCCAGCACGAGCCCATCAAGCCCTGCAAGTCGGTGTGCGAGCGCGCGCGGCAGGGCTGCGAGCCCATCCTGGTCAAGTACCGGCACGCGTGGCCCGAGAGCCTGGCCTGCGAGGAGCTGCCGGTGTACGACCGCGGCGTGTGCATCTCTCCCGAGGCCATCGTCACCGCCGAGGGGGCCGGTGAGTCCGCGGGCTGGCCGCCTCTCCTGGCCCTCACAACTCCTCCTCCTTCTTCGCCTTTTGTCCTTGATCCCATTTCCTTCTTTTCTCTGGGGATCACTGCTTACTCTCTCCCTGAATCGCCCCTCTCTTGAGCACCAGTCTCTTTATTCTTTGAGGCTCGTCTATCACCCTTCCCAACAGACGCTGCCATTATTCCAATAGCCGATCTTTCTAAAAACTCTACCGACCCTTGGCAGTCTCCTCTCGGCCGTTTTTTAAACCCACACTCTGTTCTAACTTTCTCCCGTGATCTCAGTCCTCAGATTTCCATCTCTGTCGAGTTTTGTATTTTGTAGCTGTTGCTTATGTGTGACCTTTTAAGTGATCGCACTAAGGGGCTTCTATCCCACACGTCCGTTTCTGCGTACGGTGCCTCTTGATGAGTGCCACTCCTTCCATCGCCTTGCCCATGTCTCTCAATCTCATCCACACCCTCGCTAGGCCGTTCCGTGTTCACTTAGGGACTTAGAATATCACGACTGAACTGGCCCAGCCCTTTCTTCTTCCATGGCTCTGTCCCCTCTCCCCTCAGCCTTTGCCCCCTTACAAAACATGTTTCAGCTCCCTAGTATTCATTTGGTTGAGCCACTCTGTAGTTACCCGGTTACTGTTTTAACCCCTTAGGGTTGTATGGCAAAAACAGAAAACGGAAGCCCTCGTTTTCTTCCACCCCTCTCATGTGTTAGTGGTAGGTGTTTGTTCAAAATCCAATTTGAGCAATTAACTTCACCTTAAATTTCTTCCTTCTTTCAATGAGAAAATTTGTAATTCCATTATAGACTGAGACTGTTGCAAATTAATTGCTATGCACTGCTAATTAGCTGCTGTGGCTTGCTCCAGTCATGGAGCTGGCAGAGTGAAATCTCTGGGCTCTTTGCACATGCCCACATGCTTCCAAGTCAACCTGTAAAAAGGAGTTATATTTTAGGCATGTTAGCTTCATATTACTGTGAGTAATGTTATTTTAATCTCTCCTCTGGATTTGTCTTTAATACTTTATATCATCTACATGTTCACACCACTGTTTCTACCATGAAACCTTATTGGAAATGGACATTTAATAGAATTAACTATAAGTTGCTTTCTCACTGGTGTAGGGTATAATTATGACATTCATCGCTCAAAAGCCACAACTAATTCCAGTTCACTACGGTCCATTTAAGTTTAACTCAGTATTACTGCTACCAACCCAAACTACAAATTTTACACATACTCTCTGTTTATATTTATGTTATACTGAAGTTTAAAAACCCTTAATGGTTCTCTTTTACAGCCTCCTAAAAAACTGTTCTTAGACGTGTTGACTTGGTTGTCCCATCTCTGGTGTGTATCAACTTTTCTTTCTCTGTCTTTCCACACGCTCCTGTACGGGTCTATTTGCATTGAATGGCTCTTAGTTATCAGAGAATTGCTTTAGAAAAATTACTTTCTGTGCAGTCACTCAAACATAAAGTGAGAGAAGGGAAAAGCACACATTGCTGAAAACTTTAAGGTATTTTAAAGCACTAAGTTTACTGCTGTTTGAATGACAGTCTTGCCTTCTTTTGCTTCTCCTTCTTTTCCTCTTTCTTCTTTTGAGATAGTTTCTCTCAGTAGCTCAGGTTAGCCTTAAAATTACAATGATCATACTTCCACTTCCTAAACGATGGGATACTAAGCACATACCACCAAACCTGCTGCCTTCTTGGTGTTAAGAGCCAGAAGCTACTTGTGTAAAATAATCAGCAAGAAGTGTATTTCTTACTACTCTTTGGCCTAAAAGAGAGCTCTGAGCCTTTGTGCTCTCTAAAGTCGTGGCTTAGCAGACTCTGGAGAATGCAATGCAGTTGCTGTCCTGGTTGGCTAGGCACTTGGAATCAGTTAGATGGGGGTGCTCTTCTCAAGTCAAGAGCTAGGAACTCTAAGTGGTTATGGTTCCCTCTGAAATCATCCTCTCCTCAAAGGACAAAATTTGCTTTTAAACCTCTCCTAGAGAGATGGATCAGGAATGAGTGAGGTTTGGCAAGGCTAACTGTTTTCAAGAAGCCATCTTCAGCATGGATGGGAAACAGTTTCATTAAGTGTTCCTGAGTTACCTATCACCATGGACCAAACGGAACAATAGCTTCATTGAAGCATTAAAACAATTTGTTCATCTACGGGACTTGATTTCTGTGCTGCTCTAAATGCCATAATATTTGTTTTGTTGACAGTATTCTTGCCAAAAAAATTAGTAGGAACAAATATAGTTGGAATCATATTTTAATGATCCCAACCCCAGCCTTCAGCACGAAGCAGACTGTGATGCTAGGTGGGAATTGAAGGTGAGGTGAGGATGGAGATTGGAGAGATACACTCTAGCTAGAGGACTCCCCTGGCTTCCAGAAGGAGCTTGTTGGGTCAAAGCTTCAGACACCTGGAATCACTTAGGAACTACTACATGTGGCCAGGTTTATTTACAATGCAATGTACTTCTTGGTTTAGTGGAATATGATATATAATGAAATAGATTGTTTTTCTTCTTCCAGGTAGAAACCGAGTTCCTATAACTTAGGGCTAGGAATGATCTATCCAGATAGAAAATGCAATTTTCCTGAATAAAATGGAGAATCTCTTATTGTCTTGTATATCATCAAGAGGATTTTCAACTTCGGCCACTCAGGGTTGTTTGCCTTTTCATAATATATTGTGATTCCACAAGTATCCTTAGGGCATTATGCAATGCCAGGTCTTACTGAAGTAGTGTAATGCTTCAAATTACTATTTTTTCTCCTTTCAAATCTCTAAAAGGAGCCAAGCACCAATGGTTCATGCCTAAAATTCTAGATACCGAGGAGGGTAAGAATGGGAAGATCTGGGTTCCTGGCCAGCCTTGGCAAAAAAGTTTGAAAGACTCCATTTTGATAGAAAAATCAGGGGGTGGTAGTATATACTTGTCATTCTAATAATGGTGGGAAATGTAAATAGATGGATCTTGTCCAGGCACCAGGGCAAAAAGTGAGGCCCTACTTCAAAAATACCCATAGTAATTTTGGGCTCCAGAGGCTCACACCTGTAATCCTAGCTACTCAGGAGGTTGAGATCTGAGGATCAAGGTTGGAAGCCAGCCTCAAGCAGGGAAGGCTGAAGTTTGTGAGCCTCTTAACTACAATTACACGCAGAAAAACCTGGAAGTGGTGCTGTGCCTCAAGTGGTAGAATGCTAGCTTTGAACAAAAAAGGGAGCCAGGGACAGTGCCCAGGCCCAGAGTTCAAGCCACAGGACTAGCAAAACAAACGAATAAACAAAACAAAAAAATACATGGAGTAAAAAAGACTGGAGGTGTTCCCCAACTAGAGTATCTGCCTAGCAAGTTCAAACCCTAGTACTGCCAAAAAATAAAACCCAAGCCAACAGCAAAATCAAAACTCAAACTATAACTCAAACATTCTTTTATTAAAAAAAAGAACAGGTTACATATTGCCATTACTAAGACACATCTCAATTTATTCTCACTACCCATTTTCTACTTATTATAGAGCTGGTTTCATGTAATACTACTTTTTGTGTTTTATTTTTTATTTTGGTCAGTTTTGGGGCTTGAACTCTGGGACTGGGCGCTGTCCCTCTGCTCTTCAGCTCAAGGCTAGCAGCATTCTATTCTTGAGCCACAATGCCACTTCCCACTTTTTCTGCTTATGTGGTGCTGAGGAATTGAACCCAGGGCCTCATACATGCAAGGCAAACACTCTATCACTGAGCCACCTTCCCACCCACTTTTTGTGCTGAACTCTGCTCATCTGGCCAGTCAGCAGGTTAAGTGAAACATTTGATCAGATCTTTAAGATTCATGGTAAATAGAGTATGAATGTAGAGTCAGGCAGATCAGGTATTAAATCTCAACTCTGCTCACCCCAACTGTTGCCAGTTTTATATCTGACTATCTTCCTGTAGAACAATTATGAAACTCCTCTGATGCAGTTTTCTAGTACCTGCCAAATGAGGATACAGCCTAGAACTTTTAAGTAAATACACATATAACCTAGAGCTTGTATCAGAAAAGTGTTACTGGGACGTACTGGAGAAGCATCTTACTTCTTCTGCATATGTAGTTGACATTTCATTTTCTACAAATTCTCTTTGGCCTCAGCCTTGAGAGCAAATCCCATTGGGAGTGATAGGATAAAAGAATGAGACTGATGAGTGCCTGTAAATTAGAAATAGTTTACCTCAAAACTTGAGCATTTAAGAAAACTTTGGAGATTTCACAGCTGTTTGTTCAACATGCACAGTTTGCTGTGCCAAAAGCGATATAATCACCCCTCAGTTACTGCTGGTTTCCGGATTGAGCTGATTTGTACCCCAGCTCTTGCTCAAAACATTTGGCAGAGCACCCCCTCAACTTACACGCGCAGGAACTTCTGTTTAATCATTTCTCCCTCTCTGAGGAACAGGCAGTCTTTTCTTTTGCCATAGCCTGCAAATATTTGAGGGACCAAACACACAAAGCAAGGCTATGAGCAGGAATATGGAATGGAAATTGCAGATGAGGACTAGAGAGAAAACATAATTCTAAGGATTCTTCATCATGTGAAATGTTGAGAGACACTCTGGTTGGGGTGTGGAGGAATATCTCAGTATTATAGTATTGATTTTATTTATTTAAATGAACCCAAACAAACTAGATCATCAGCTAACACATTTATCAGGGATACTGAGAATATATCTATACCTTATTTTAATGATTCTTTTTATCTCCTTTCCAACAACCTTTCAAGTAATTTTTTTCCAAAGAGCAAATGTGACTATATTGAGCCTTTCCCTTTTATACCAGGTTTCTAGAAGAACAGATTGAAAACCACACATTTAGAGAATAGGACACTTTTGGAAGTATATGCCATAACTTGAGTTCTAAGTTTGCCATTAATTTTTTTCATTTTGAACAAGTCACGTGACATAAGGAATTAGAATTAAACAAAGAAATGCTCCCACAAAGTGATTGATCAACCCAACTGTAAATGTTTAATAGCATCTTTGGGGACAAAGATCATTAGCAGCCACAGAATAAAAGCTAACAGTGCTTAACATGTTGTTGGCACCATCTTAAGTGCATCCTGCAGGTGAGTTCTCCTAACAGCTATAAGGTAAGTGCTATTAGTCTTATTTCACAGAAAGGAAAGCCAAAATGTACAGAGAAATTAGGTAACTTGCCAAGCCAATTCAGCTGGCAAAAAAAGGGAGGCTATTCAATTCTATTCTTCCTCTTTTAAAAACAGGTGATTTCTAACTTTATGAAGAATTGATGTCGTTTGCCCATCTGATTGCAGTTAAAGGAACAATGCCTTTTTTTTAATATAAGGGTTTTGGACAATGGATTCAAAAGATAAGAAATTACCACTTGGTTTCACTGCTGAGAAACAGAAGAGAACATACACTCATAGTCTTTTCGCCTAACCCTGAGTCCTTCAGCCTCAGCATGCCCGGAGAGACTCATCACCACCCTTTCCAGCTTACTTTTATTCTCCTCTAGTATTCTCTTGTTGAGGATGACACTATGACTCGATTCCTAATTACCCTATTCAATAAGCATCAAGTACTGTTAGATCTGCCAAATATCAAATTTCTTTCCCACCTTCTCTAATGACATTTTCTTATGGATAATTTTCATAAGGTCCATTTCTCACATGGATTATGGCCTATATTATAAATGATTCTTTTATTTCTACTACATTCTAACAGTATGATTTTTCTGAAGTATAGATCTATTACTTAAAATCCTTTGTCTTTGCTTCTGGTCTCTCACTTCCTACCTCAACCCTTCCTCCTATGGAAAGCTCTATGACATCCTCTAGAAATTCTTGGGATATAAAATCTATTATGATACAGTATTTACATGTTTTAATTCAGGATAATTTTCATGCTAGAGGGTTTGGAGAGCATGACTCAAGTTTATATAGTGCTTACCTAATTTTGATGATAGGTTTCAGAAATTTAACTATCTGGAACCGATTTTTTAAACAGTTAATGATCAGGAAACCACTTTTACAGTAGTTTCCACTCTAAAATCTCTGTCTTGGAGTTTTGACAATTGATTTCTATGTGTCTTTAAAAGTATAGAGCAGTTGGCCGGGCGCTGGTGGCTCACGCCTGTAATCCTAGCTACTCAGGAGGCTGAGATCTGAGGATCACGATTCAAAGCCAGCCCGGGCAGGAAAGACTGTGAGACTCCTATCTCCAATAAACCACCAGAAAACCGGAAGTGGCGCTGTAGCTCAAGTGGTAGAGTGCTCGCCTTGAGCTGAAGAGCTGAAGGACAGCGCCCAGGCCCAGAGTTCAAGCCCCACGACCGACAAAAAAAAAAAAATAAAAGTATAGAGCAGTATTTGCAATAACTAGTATATGTCTGAGTCAAACAGAAACTGTCAGACAAGTTGATGTTAGGTGAAATGAACCCCAAGATAAGGATTCAAAGGTTTTTTTCTTTCTTGCGATTGTTTCCAACATATTTATAAGATGATTTCTTTGTTGCTTTGTATGTCCTTCCCCCATGGTATAAGCCCTGCTTTCACTGTATTTGATGTTGATATAATTCGTGGAGGGGGAGGGAAAAAACAAATTGTTTAAATAGGGTTACAGGTAGACCCATTGCAACAATGAGATGTACAAGACATTATGTCAAAAAACAAACTTCACAACACTGGAGGGGTTGGGGGTGGGAGGGTGGAGAGGGGAAGGGATGGTATGGGGAAACAAAGGAGGAGGCAACAATGCTTGATAAGAAATGTACTCACTATCTTGCCCATGTAATTGTAACCCTCTGTATGGTATTTTCACAATTAAAAAAAAAAAAAGACCAACACTTTAAAAAAATTGAGCACATCCCTGTGACTATGAACACGAAAGAAGCAACCATTCTTCTTGACTTAGCTGTTTCAAAGGAGTTTTCCCCCAACAGTTTTGTTTTTCATCTTGCATAAAACTTTGAATACTAAACATTTAAATGTGCATCAGTATAATTTATTCATCTACAGGGAGATGATTTTTATATAAACCATATGCATTTTATCACATTCTTATTCAGGAAGAGAAAAATTATTGGCACATTACATTAAAACTTGGATATGTTTATCATGAATGAAATTTGAATAGAATAAAAATCATTAAATTTGTTAAATGGCAGCTCCTTTGTCCAACTACTTAAAGATAATAAAATAAAACAAAAGTTAATAATAGTTCATACCCAGATTAAACAAAATATTTTAGAATTAGTGTTGGTTGTATAATTATATGTATTTGCTTTGCTTAATTTCCAAATAAATAGCTATCTTTCCTTGAGCATAAATTTTCTTTTTTCTTTTTTTTTTTTGGGTCCAGTCGTGGGGCCTGAACTCTGGTCCTGGGCGCTGTCCTTCAGCTCTTTAGCTCAAGGCTAGCACTCTACCACTTTGAGCCAAAGCGCCACTTCTGGCTTTTTGCTTATGTGGTGCTGAGGAATCCAACCCAGGGCCTCATGCATGCAAGGCAAGCGCTCTACCACTGAGCCACCTTCCCAGCCCCAAATTTTCTTTTTTCTTTTTCCTTGTTTTCACTTCCTTTCTTCCTTCCTTCCTTCCTTCGTTCCTTCCTTCCTTCCTTCCTTCTTTCCTTCTCTCTCTTTCTCTTTCTTTCCTTTCTCTCTCTCTCTCTCTTTTCTCTCTTTCTTTCTCTCTTTTTTTCTTTCGAACTGGGGTTTGATCCCAGGGCCTGGTGCCCTACCACTTGAGCCATAACTCTTCTGGTCTTTCTTCTGGATATAAAAGTAGCATGAAGATGATTTTTTTTTTTTTTTTTTTTTTGCTAGTCAGTCCTGGTGCTTGAACTCAGGGCCTGGGCACTATTCCTGGGTTTCTTTTGCTCAAGGGTAACACTGTACCACTTGAGCTACAGTTCCACTTCAGGCTTTTTCTGTTTATGTGATACTGAGTAATTGAACCCAGGGCTTTGTGAATGTTGGCAAGCACTCTACCACTAAGCCACATTCCCAGCCCCAAGAGGTTTTTCTTTGTTGTTGTTTTTAATGTACTATATGATTTTTTGTTTCTTTTGTATGTTCTTCCTTCTATGGTATATCCTGTTATCACTGTTTTTGGTTTTAATAACCTGAATCTTGTATATACATTTATCTAATTTGGGGAGGGGAAGGGGAATTACAAAATGCTGAAACAAGGACACAGAATGACCCATTGCAACAATGATACTCACAAGACACTATTTTGGAAATGACCTTTACAACTTGGTGGGGGAGGAGTAGGAGAGGTGCAAGAGGAAAGGTATAGTGGGAAAATAACAAAGGAGGGGTAACTATGTTTGACAAGAAATGTACTCATTGCCTTACTCATGTAACCCCTCTCCTCTGTACAGTATCTTTACAATAAAATAAAATTTTAAAAGAGAAAAAAGACACAAATATTGTGAAACAAACAAATAAAAAATGTACTCACTACCTTATGTTACTGTAACCCCTCAGTACATCACCTTGGCTATATATATATATATATATATATATATATATATATATATATTTGTTTGTTTTTGTTGGTCGTGGGGCCTGAACTCTTGAGCTGTTCAGCTCAAGGCTAACGCTCTACCACTTGAACCATAGCACCACTTCCGGCTTTTTCTGCTTATGTGGTGCTGGGGGAATCGAACCCAGGGCCTCATGCATGCAAGGCAAGCACTTCCCCAGCACCACATAAGCAAAAAGAAAAAAAGCCGGAAGTGGCGCTGTGGCTCAAGTGGTAGAGTGCTAGCCTTGAGCTGAAGAGTTGAGGGACAGCGCCCAGGCCCAGAGTTCAGGCCCCACGACTGGACCCCCCCCCCCAAAAAAAAAAAGAAAAAAATAGAAAGAATATCATGGACTTTCTTGCCTGAACTGGCTCCAAACTGTTCTTCAGATCTCAGCCTTCTGAGTAGCCAAGATTACAAGCATGAGCTTGAAATCTTGGCTAATTCCTGAAATTTTTATGCTCAGCTGATGAAATTTCAACATACTGTTCAGTCAGATGGCAGACTAGATCTCATCCTTATTTGACCCCCAAATAGAAATGCCAACCTTACAACCCAAAGATCTACTTCCTTGAGACACTTGGTTCTTATCCAAATCAAATTCATCATTGCATTAAATGTTATGTAGAAATCTTTGAAATAATAAATATGTTGTGATACTTTCTTTATTCTGTTTCAGATTTTCCCATGGATTCGAATAATGGAAACTGTAGAGGGGTAAACAGTGGTAAGTATAACACTATCTTCCTGATTTTCATTTGGGGTCTAATTAGTCTTTGATGTGATTTTGATATTCTAGACTTACTTATGGAAATTTGTGCCATAATACTTAAAAAGTAAACATGAAAGTTCATTCCTAGCTGGGTACTGGGTACCTCACACTTGTAATCCTAGCTACTTAGGAGGCTGAAATTTGGAGACCAAGGTTGAAAGTCAGCCCAGGCGGGAAAGTCCATGAGACTCTTATATCCAGTTAATGACCAAAAATCTAGAAGTAGGGGTATGGCACAAGTGCTAGAATGCCAGCTTTGAGTGAAAAAGCCAAGCAAGAACACAGGCCCTGAGTTCCAGCCCCAGTATCAAAATGTGCACATGTATGGATTCATGTAATTACAGTTAGAATGCAGAACAATGCTATTAAACTTTCAAAAATTCCTTCATGCTATTTCCCTTTCCAATGACCATTTCCCCCTTTCCTTAAGCTCTGGCCAGCACTAATATATTCTCCTTCCCTATAGGAATGTCTTTTGGAGATTGTCAGACACATGGAATGAGAACGACAGAGTATATAACCTTTTGAGATTGACTTTCTCATGCAGCCTTACGCCTTTGAGAGTTACCCAAGTTGCTATATGCATCAGTGATCTATTCCTTTTGTTGAGAACTATTTTATTACTTGGATGTATTGCCATTTGCTTATCCCTCCCATGCAAGAAAAATATTAGGTTGTTTCTAGTTTGGGCAATCATGAACTGAGCTTTGATTAATCTGTGTGTACAGGTTTTCACATGAATATAAAAATTTTAACTTCTAGGACTAAGATTTTAAGTATCTGTTTGACTTTATTAAACATGCAAAATGATATCCAAAATAGCTGTTTAATTTTGCACTAGCTTTGGGTAAGAATTGTAGCTGCTTTCTATCTTCAATAGCACTTGGTACTACCAACTTAAAAAATTATTAGTTATTTAATAGGGATGTAATGAAAGCTTCTTGTGGTTTTATTTGCATATTCCTAATTGTCAATAATGTTGAATATTTTTTTCAAGGCTTATTTGCCATCCACTTATATCCTTTGGTCAAATTCAATTCTTCTGATTATTTTATTTTATTTTATTTATTTTTTGTTGGTTGTGGGGCTTGAACCCTGGGCCTGGGTGTTGTCTCTCAGCTCTTCAGCTCAAGACCAGTGCTCTACCCCTTGAGACACAGTGCCACTTCGGGTTTTCTGAGTGGCTTATTGGAGATAGTCTTATGGATTTTCCTGCCTGGGCTTGCTTTGAACCTCGATCCTCAGATATCAGCCTCCTGAGTAGCTAGGATTACAGGTGTGAGCCACCAGAACCCAGCTCTTCTGATTATTTTAAATTATAATACAAACATTAAGTTTTAATCCTTTCTATATTATAGATACAAAGAACAATCTTCCTTAATTCATTTTTCTTTTTCTCTTTTTCATTTTATTGATTTCTATTTTTTCCCATTGCTGTGGATCTATCTATCTATCTATCTATCTATCTATCTATCTATCTATCTATCTAACCAATTCCTATTTGAGACCTTTCTTCTTTTTCTAATACAAGTTAGTCCTATAAACACCCATATAAGAATGACTGGTTGCCAGTGGGTTACTCTTGCAATCTTACTCAGGAGGCTGAGATCTGAGGATTGGGATTCAAAGTTAGCCTGGGAAGGAAGGCTCATGAGACTCTTCTCTCCAGTTAACCTCTAAAAAGGTAGAAGTGGAGCTGTGGCTCAAGCAGCCTTGAGCACAAAAGCTCAGAAATAGAGCCCAGGCCCTGAGTTCAAGCCTCAGGACTGGCACACACAAAATAATAATAATAATAATAAAGTAACTGGTTGCATCCTCCCAAGTTTTGACAAGACTTAAACATATTTTTCCTTCAGTTCAAAATTATTTATAATTTCACTTGAAATTTTCTCTAAATTATGCATTATTTGGGATTGTGCTTTTTAATATGCTATTTGGGTTTTCCTATTGCCCTTATATAATTAATATACAATTAATTCTGTTTTGGTTATGGCACATACTTCATATAATTTTATTCCTGAATTTTTTAAGGTGAACGTTCCGTGTACACTTGGAAAAATGTTTATTTTACTGTTGTTTGCGCTGTTCTTTTTTTTTTTTTTCAGTGGTGGTTGTGGTGCTAGGGTTCGAACTCAAGGCCTTGAGTTTGCTAAGCTGGTACTTTCAGCTGAGCAATACTTCCAGCCCTTTTTGTACTATTTTGAATGAGCTGTGCCTGGACTGTGATCCTCCTATTTTACATGTCCCACTATAGTGGGGATGACAATCATCCCGAGTTTCTTCCATTAAGATGGAATATTGTGAACTCTTTTTGTCCAGGTGGGCTTTGAATTACAGTCTTCCTGATTTCAGCATCCTACCTAGCTAGGATGATAAACACACACTACTATACTCACCTACTTGTTGAAAAGGGGTTTTGCATGGATTGAGGCTTAACCTCATTTCCTTCCCCCTTCTCCAAAACACTCACTAGAGTGTCAAAGATATATATATATATATATATATATATATATATATATACACACACACACATTTCCATACATGTGTGTATGTGTTCCTGTTAGATAATGTCATATATTTTGTTTTAAGCAACTCAAGAAAGGAGCAATACCCTCTTATATTTATACAGATGTTTTTAATTTTATTCTTCTTCTTTATTTCTTGATGTTAAAGGCTTCCTTCCTTTCTCTTTTGTCTGCTCCATTTACAGCAGTTCTGCTGGGAAACAAAAATTCTCTTTGCTTTCCTTTACCTGAAAAAGTATTAATTTCACTTTAATTCCTCAAGGATATTTCAACTGAATATCAAACTCTTAGTATTTCACTTAGCACTTTAATATTGTTTTTACTTCTGGCCTCACTTTCTTTTTAAAATTAGCAGTCATTCAATTTATAACAGTTTGAATATGATATGCTTGGTAATTGCTCTCATTCAATTTATGTTGTTCATTATTAATTGATAATCTTAAATCTATATGTTATATATATTTTTGTGTGTGCCAGTCCTGGATAATATCCTTGAGCACAAAAGCACTCTATCACTTTAGTCATAGCTCTACTTCTGGCTTTTTTGGTGGGTAATTGGAGATAAGAGTCTCAAAGACTTCCCTGCCTGGGCTGGCTTTGAACCACAATCCTCAGATCTCTGCCTTCTGAGTAAGTAGGATTATAGGCATGAGCCACTGGTGCTTGGCCAAAGTTATAATGTGTCAAATTTGGCAAGTGGCAAGAAATTATTTTATCAAATGCCTACTTTTTCTACTATTCTGTCTTCTATGAGGATATGAATATTAATTCATATCTCCCTTAATCTTTTCTCTCTCTCCCTGTTGTTTAGAATAGATAGTTTCTAACAACATCTCTCAAAGTTCATTGGCTTTTTCCTTGTCATCTACATTCTGCTATTAATCATATCCTGATAGTCTTTAGCTACTATTTTTTTAAATTTAAAATTTCTATGTGATTCTTCATTTTATTTTGTATTTCTTTGTTAAGAAATACATTTTCCATCCACTTTAAGGACACTCACTCTTCATTTGGGGGATTGTTTTATAGTAGATGTCCAAAAGACATTGTTGATTATTTGAACATTCATATCATCTGCCTTTTCCCATACAAGTTGAGACATTCCTAATTTTTCATATGTAGATGACTTGGGATTGAATTTTGTACATTTTGAATAACATGTAATAAGATTTGGGGTCTTATTTAAAGTCTATGGTAAATGTTGACATTTTAATTTTAGTTGGAGTCAAGGTTTAGACTCTTTAAGGCTTAGGCTAAAGTCTCAGGTTGAGACTTCAGCAGTATTTAGATTTAGTCTCCTTATTCACTATAGCTGGTAATTTCAACATCAGTTGAAATCTCGTGATTTCAACATCAGTGCCATTTCCCAAAGTCTTTTTTGTGCCTTTCACACCACTATCAATATGTGTCCTACACAGTGGTCAGTATGAGATCAGGATGTTGATGTATACCATAGTTCATTTTTCAAGGTCTCAAGTATACTATTTCATGTCAGATTCACACGTACTCAACAGGGAATCCTGTAGTTTGTCAACAGCATTACAAAATCTTTCCTTATGCTTCTTACATCTTTGTGATGTCTTTAGTACTTTTCAGTCCTTTGAGCTCCCCATTTTGGTCCTTTGGCTAGAAAGCTGTGGATTTACCCTATTGTGCAATTCATTTTTATTTTATTTTATTTTTTTGTGGTCGTGGGGCCTGAACTCTGGGCCTGGGCACTGTCCCTCAGCTTTTCAGCTCAAGGCTAGCACTCTACCACTTGAGCCAAAGCACCACTTCCGGTTTTTTTTTTTCTTTTTGCTTATGTGGTGCTGAGGAATTGAACCCAGGGCCTCATGCATGCAAGGCAAGCGCTCTGCCACTGAGCCATCTTCCCAGCCCTGCAATTCATTTCTTATGCTCCTGCATCTGAGACTGAGAAGTGGGCAGAGATAGACAAATGGGGTTCATTCCGATTTCCTGACACCACAGGAAGGAAGGTTCTTCTCCATCAGGGTTTTAGGCATCTTTGATGAAGCTTTTGCTCTTCCTGCGATTCTGCCACCCTACTGTTGCTTGATGGGTGGCTTGCAAGAGACAGGAGTGTGGTAAAGCCTCTCTCCACTTGTTCATCTAACAGTGGAGGGCTTCTCCTGGAGTACTGTCTGTACAGTGCCTCGTCTTAGGTCACAGGCTGTGTCCAAACTGGACTGACCGATAGCAGAGAAAGAAAACTGATGAATCACTATCAGGTCACTGGGCCTGATACTATTTACCTTTGTGCATTCTTAAGAAGCTACTTTGGGGCTAGGAAGGTGGGTCAGTGGTAGAGTGCTTGCCTCACATGCATGAGGCCTTGGGTTCGATTCCTCAGCACCACATAAATAGAAAAAGCCGGAAGTGGCGCTGTGGCTCAAATAGTAGAGCACTAGCCTTGAGCTGAAGAGCTGA